TACCTGAACCAGCCAGCCACCTTGGGGAGGCCGGGCAGGGGAGGCCTGGCTCCGTTGTGCCTGCCATGAGCGCGGCTGCTCTCCCAGCCCTGGCACGGGCAGTGCCACGTCTGACAAATGCTGCCCTCAGGAGAAAGAGTAAACAGACAAGGACAAGGAGACAGATGGAGGAAGAAATGAACATGTGAAAATTCTTACCAGCCTCCTGCCTGGTTCTTTTTTAAACCAAGATTATATTTCTGTTAAGTCTGGTGGTGTTCTGTGATGAATTAATAGATTAAGTAAATTATTTCTCTGCTCTTGAACTACATCTTGCTGGTATAGTCAGGGCCATTGGCAAGTCAAGTCTTTAAATATGTCTCATTAATGACTAAATGTATCACTTTTGTTTTATGAACAATGCAACCGTTATTTGTAATTAGCTTGGTGCCAAAAACTATTGTTTTATTTTAAGCTTGTGAAAATAAAATCACAAGAGAAGGGATAAGAGAGCCAAACAGAAAAAAAAAAAAACCAGAAATCGGACTAACACATGTTATTTATTCAGAAGTATTATGAAAATATAGGAAACTGTCATTTTTGAGGTAGGTTTAAGACCGAATTTATCAATGGCTTGTGGAAATCGTGTTCATTTTAGTAGACAGCAGGTGTTAAAACAATTGAGAAAGGGCCCTTCCCTGCATCTGGGTTACAAAAGCTGCCTCAATGTGAAAAAAACGGGACAATAATTTTAAAAAAATATCCTGCCTCCGGCTAGTTCCTTTTTCTATTTTTCTCATACTGGGCAGTTTTATTAATAGATAATAGAGGAAGCTCATAAGAAAAACATACACATTTACACTCATTTCCCGGTGGAAGTGATGTTTACTTGACGTAAAATGGCTTTGGTGTTTGTAAGATGATTCTCTTTGGAACTCCATCCAGCATGCAATGTTCAGATTGCTCATATCCCCTTTAAATTAGTTTACTAGCATATTCTCACTAAAATCTATCAAATCAGACTCATTTCCAGTCCAAAATACACTGATATATTACTGTAACACACTGGAGAGAAGCCAAGATTCACAGCCGAAACTTTTTGCTGTTTGGGAATGTTGATACCAGCTGTTGTAGGAGTTTGTAATTAACACTATTCTGAAAGCAACATCTACATTATGAGCCCTCAATTGAACAACCTGTATGAAACAGATCTTTGACATCTGGGGTTTCTGTGAACCCCAAAATTAGGAATATGTTGATTGAGGTGTGGCTTTGGAGCAGACCCCTAGACTCCCCCAGTAGGTTCAGGGACTACCTGCCTCACAACGGCGCATTGGTTCAAATTCATGCCGAGAGCTTTGCACACATGCACCATTTATCCCCATAACAATCCTCTGAGAGAGGTAGAACTGCCCCTGTTACAAATTATAACACGCCATGGACCTTGGGGGCTGCTCAGAAAAAGTCAGAACTGTGGATATTAGATCTTGAAATGTTAAGTCAAGAGTCTACCAATGTTTACTTTTAATGATTATGAATTAATGAAACCCATACTTCATTCAGTTCCAGTCATGTATGCAAATATAACAAGCTCAGTATTTCATCAGTGTCTTTCTGTACAGACGTAACGTCAGACATAAAAGAGACATGCTACAGCTGACGGTTTAATATCTGACATTTTAAAATACACCTCTTATGTAGAAGGACACTTTATACTCAGAAGCATAGAAAATGTTTCTTACATCTAAGTTTAGAGGAGAAGGCCTTCAAATTCAATGTGAACTTTCCACCTTTTCACTTTCATCTCTCCTGACTTCACTCTCTGCAGTTCTGCAGGCCTACCTGAGGAACGTGCTGGAACTGAATCAAAGTCAACCGGAAACTTCCACTTCCTTTTCACTGCGCCTAGAAGTGCCCATCACATCACGGTAGGAGCACAGTAGTCGCTGCTGTCCAACTCCGGCACTCACACTCGGGGACAGCTCACGCGGCAGACTCATTATACGAAGAGGTAAACCCATCTTTGGAAGGCTCGGTTCCTTCACCAGGGACTCAGTGAGGAATATGAGAGTTGCCTACAATGTGACCAGCACTGAGCGTTCAGAACATACTTTATGAACGAAATCTCCTGAATCTAAACCATGCGAGTCAGATGATCATCCAGATACCACGGTTTCAAAACCAAATGCATTTGGCTAAAGACTACTTCAAATTCTTTCTTTCCATTGCCCTAAAAATAAGTTCACATCTCTCTAACTTACAGCGCTTTCCCATATGCCCAGTAACCCGTTTGAGCTACGTTCCTGTCTTCTCTTCTTCCCCAAGCTTCACCAAGTGTCTATACTCAGCCACTCCAGCCGCTCGGTTCTTCAGCACCCTCCTTCCCCAACACCACCTACAGCTACCCGCTGAAACCTTTCCAGCACCTTGGATTTTCCCCGCTCTGAGCCACACTGCGTATCCTGTGAATTACACTTTCTCAATATTTTATCCTTTCTCCTCCATTCTAAGTCTCTATTCAAAAAGGTCTTTTTAGTTTCCTTAATCAAAGAATTCAACCACCGTCAGGACCTGTTTGAGATATAACAGTTGCCATTTTAACCATTTTAAGTGTACAATGCAGTGGTATTAACTATATCCACGATGTTGTGCAACCATCACTACTATATTTCCAAAATTTTTCATCACCCCAAACAGAAATTCTGTACCCCTTAAGCCATAACTCCCTATTCTCTCCTTCCCCCAGGCCCCGGTAACCTCTAATTGACTTTCTGTCTCTATGAATTTGTCTGTTCTAGACATTTCATATTAAGTAGAATTATACAAAATTTGTTCTTTTGTGTCTGGCTTACTTTCCTTAGAATAATGTTTTCAAGGTTGTAGCATGTGTCAAAATTTCATTCTTTTCTATAGCTGAACGTTGTCCCATTTATGCATATACTACATTTTGTTTATCCACTGATTTGTACTTCTTGTCTTTTAATTGGTCTCCTGACTCACGGTCACGTCAATTCTCCTGCTCCAATAAACCTCAGTAGTTCTGGAGTAGCCATGAAATTCAGTCCAAATTTCTCTGCCTGCTACTGAGAACATACACCATCTGGCCTGGGTCTATAGAGACAAACCTATTCCCAGGTAAAATGGAAATATCGGCTATCAAAATGAACATATCCCTGTACATACACTGCTTATACCTTCACCCACGTTGTTTCCTTTGCCTGGAATGTTCTCCTCCTAGTTCCTCTGGCCAAAGCCCCACTCATCCTTTACATAGTCAGCTCTAATCCTGCCTGCTTCATACCACCTTCTACTTTCACAAGGCAAAGTGACTCTTCTCTTTTCTAGACTTCCAGAGGACTTTGTGCTGTGGCATTTAATCACCTACCTTTGTCTCTTCTACTCTACTTCTTGGTGTGAATTCCTGTATGCACATCAGTTATGTTTTTCTATTGCAGCGTGTTGAGCACTGACTGTCTGCACAGAACGGGCATCAGTAAGTAGTTGCCCAACTGACTCCATACGTATCAAAAAGGCTGAGAGATGAACTCTCCCAGACACCTGGCAGTCTGAGTATGAGGCTGTGTAAAGATATTTACATTTTAAATTAAATAAAACATCAATTATTTAGGACAAAACATAGTAACGTGGAAAAGATAGTGAGGAATTTAGAGAAAATGACTAAAAAGGTGAACCAGAAGAATGATCTGGACCTCAGATGTCTGGCAAAACATAAAGAATTGTGAGTAAACAAAATAAACTCAGTGTTTTCATGTAAGAAGAGAAACAACCAACTGAGGCAGGGAGGGCAGGATGGGACTCCGGGATGGGATTCGCGGGACGGGCCGGATCAGGGAGGACCGGGCGGAGCACGGGACGCGGAGGAACTGCCCTAGGCCCGGGAAGCATCAACAGCTTCTCCTGCGTCCCTGCTCGGGTCGGTCCCGAAGCCAGGGCTGCCCTGCGAGCGGCGGAGCCTTCCCTGAACGGGGCCTTGGTCCAGCTGTGCCCCGTGTTTGCAGCTCAGCCTCCTGGTGGAGTGTCCCTGCCCTGTCACGTCTCGCTCCTGGGGACATGGGCGGGGCTGCGGCGAAGGAGGGCAGGAACCGGCCCTTGTCACCTGGGCCCGTCTGATGGGCGGGGGCTCGCGCGCCACCTCGTGGTAGGGACGGGCCTTGCCGCGGGTCCTGCGCCGTCCTGGGCCCGAGTCTACACACACGAGCTGCCTGGGGTGTTTAACCCGACTGCTCCACTAATGGGCAGGCGGCCCGGCCGTGACTGTTCTTTGCTCGTGTCGTTAGTAACGACGGCCCAGAGTCGCCGTCGTCTGCGTGCGGACGTCCTCCCCACGCTCCTCGACGGCGCTCGGTCCGGACACGTCCCCCGGGAACCGCAGCTGCGGACCGCGACAGGCAGAGCGATGGGCGCCGACGCCGCCGCGGCCCCCATGTCCGTCCAGCCCCGGAGGCGGCGCCCCCGGAGCCTCGGTCGGCCCAGTGCCGCTCTGCGCGAAGGGACGGCCGCTGTGCCCGCTTCCCAGACGGGAAGACTGAGACTGGAACCGTCCAGGGCCTTGTTCCAGGCCCCAGAGCCTAAGCGGACGAACACGGGCCGACAGGAGAGCGCGGGTAGACAGCCTGGGGGACAGCGGCCCTAAGCCCGCTGCCGCCCTGCGCGCTGCACCCCACGGCCTCCTACCTCAGCCTGGAGGCGCTGCCTGGGCGCCCGGCGCGGTTGCCACGGAAACATGAGGCGGTGGCGCAGGCGCGTAGCGCGTGGGGGAGAGGAGCGCGCGGCGCCGGAACGGAACGGCACTGCGCAGGCGCAGCGTCTCCGTTGCTAGGGACGCCTGGCGCCCACCTGAGAGACCGAAGTGAGGTCCCGAGCCGGGGACGCGACGAGAACGATCGAACCTTCTTAGTGCCTGTGCGCTCCGGCCAAGCACCCGCGACTGTCGCCTCTCCCTGAGGGGATATCCCCGGTCCCCGCCCTCCCTCCAGGAGAGTCCCCTTCAGCCCCTGGGCGCCCCTGGTGGTGCCCCGACCCCTGCAGCCAGCTGGCCTTCTGAGGGCAACGGAAGAGCTTCCCAGCGGGCGAGGGAAAGAGTGAAAGTAGCCAGCCATGTCGAATGCGTAAGTGGTGGCTCCCAGCCATAGCCATGGGGTGGGCCTCTCCAAGCCAGAAGGTGGCTTGCTCTGCTTGCCTTCTTTACGTTTTAATTTTCTGCTTTCTCTCTCCCTTTCCAGAACCTTCCCCTCCCCTCCTTTTTACCCTTTCGCAAATTCAGATATGCCGCAGGATAGCGAATGGGCTTCCGGTGGTCGGGAATAGAACACGCTTAGGTCTCCCCTCCCCCATGCCTTCCCGCCACCCCGTGGAGACGCGGTCGGCGGGCCCGCTGCTTCTGCCCAGTGCGCCCTTAGTGATGTCTCGCTGAGGAGGCAGCGTGTCTGTTTTGTCCGCTTTTTCGTTACTCTTTCCCAGTGATAAATGGATTGCTTTGTGAGAACAGCCAGCTCCCCAAATCTCAGTCTAGAAAGATCTTGAGGAAGCATCGTTGTCTTTGCTTTTCACCAAGGACAGTCAGGTGTCGTGATACCGAAGAGGGTAGGACCTAGCACCGTACCGTGTACACAGCACTGTCGCACAGTCATGTCACCCGGTCTTCGCAACAGTGATTCCAAACACGCATCAGGTGCCGGCTGTGCGGGCGCTGTTCCAGCAACTCCTTTAATCTTCACAGCAACCGGTAACGTCGGGCTGTTGCTATTGTTATTTCCATTTCACAGGCGAGGAAACAGGTACAAGGAGGTGCAGTAGCTCACACAGCAAGCGGGTGGTGCCCAGCCGGGCACGGCGGGTCCAGCCTGCCCTCTCATGTTGCTAACCCTGTGCTCTAGGCGAGGAAACGGGAGCAGAGGTTAAGAGCTTGCCACATTTGGGGAGGGAAGGGAGATCAGGATGTTACTTTGGGACCTGTTGAGTTTGAAGCGCCTATTGGGCACCGTGGGGTCCAGCAGTGACCTCGACAGGAACTGATGCAGTGAAGTGATGGGATGGGAAGATTCGTTCGCGTGAGCATAGGAGGAGAGAAATCGCAGACAGTGAGTGAGCGTAGCTGACTTTCTAAAGGAGTTTGCTGCAAAGGAAAGGAAATAGGTTGGTAGCTAGTGGCAGGGGAAGCAGGTTCGGGGACAGATTTACTTTTACAACAGGGAAACAATAGCGCGTTTGTGTGCCGAAGGGCTGGCGCAGTAGTAATGAAACCTGGACTGATATAGGAAGAGGAGGGAGAGGTAGGTGACGTCCTCGGTGATGGCTTTAGATACAGAGGCTCAGCATTTAGTAGCAGGAACAGGTGGGACGATGCCCTGGTGGGGGCCTGGGCAGATGATGGTAGATGGTGGCGATTGAGGGGCTGTGCTGATGGCATCTGACGAAATGGGATTCAAAGCTGGGGACTGTCGGGGGAGGGCAGGACGATGGTCTGGAGGTGCAATGAAGACAAGGACGCCCTTGACCTGGCCCCACAGCCAGGGGCAGAAAGGCTCTGGGGGAAGGGAGCCTCCACCGAAAGGGCTTCAGGGCAGGGCCAGGCCTTCCTCAAAGCCAGAAGGCAGAGGGATTATTCAGGGAAGAATGCGACAACTAGATAATATTGGAAGAATTAGAAGGTTTTGTTATGTATAAATAACTGGGAGACAATTCTCGTTTTGCAATATTTAGATTTCCTAGGGAAGTACATAGTATGTCTGAATATTCAAGTTTTTCTCCTCCACCCCACTCCCCAGTTATAGGAAAACTACTTCAAGCTGTAGAAATAACAATCTGGTCGTTTTCAACTTTCATATTCAGTCATCTCCACCCACAATGCTCCTGACTTCAAAATCTGTGACAGTTCTAGGTCACATGCTCAGGCCTGAAAGCAATCATCTACTTTTAAACAACGATAAGTAGTCACATGGATAAAATACTGCCTTCTCTTTACAAGGTGCATTTAAAACTTCAAGAATACTTTCACGTCTGTTATTCCATCCCACAATAATCCTCTGAGGTGTCCCAAGTAGGTGTCATTACCCAGACGTGCCCGTTGAGAAGGCGTGGGCACAAGGAGGCCGAGTGACCTGCCCGAGACGAGCTGCCCCAGGAGAGAGGTTCTGATTCCAACTGGCAGCACTTTTACCTTCCAAACCTCCTTGCCATACCCAGGAGAAGTAAAACCACACGTCCACACAAAAGCTTGTGCAGGAATGCTCACAGCGTCGTTATTTACAATAGCCACAAAGCCAAGGAAACAACCCAGGGTCCATCAGCTGATAAAAGTGTAAACAAAATGTGGTGTATCCATCCAATGGGAAATTATTTGGCAACATAAAGAAACGAAGGACTGATTCATGCTGCAATGGGGATGAACTTTGAAAACATTGTGCTAAGTGAAAACACCGCACAAAGGGCCACCTGTTGTATGATTCCATCTATGTGCAACGTCCAGAATAGGCAAATAGAGACAGAAATTAGATTAGTGGTTGCCAAGGGCTGGGAGAATGTGGAGTAGACAGTGTCTGCTTACTGGGTATGGTTTTCTTCTGGAGTGATGGGAATGTTTTGGAATTAGATAGTGGTGATGGTTGCACAATTCTGAACATACTAAAAACCACTGAATTGTACACTTGAAAAGAGTGAATTTTATGCCCTGTGAATTATATCTCAATAATGCTCTGTGCATCTTGCCACATGTCTTGTCTCACGTCTTCACGGGCACCGGCTCAGGCAGCGGCTGCCAAGACCGCAGGGCAGCAAGGTGGGGCGAGACGCAAGCCCAGGCAGGCTGAGGGAGGCGGGGGCTCCACGGGCTGGCGTGGCCAAGGCTCAGTGCCCAGGTCCCTGGCAGTCCTGTGAGTGATGGGAGTGTGGTCACGTGGAGGGGCAGCCGGGGAACTGGAAGGCAGGAAGCCAGAGAGAATCCCTAGGGAGGAGGTCCTGGCAGAGAGAGACGACGGCGCCCTCTCTCAGCGCTGAGGAAAACAGGCAAAGGTGCAGGGATCGGCGTGCGCCCATAGCTGCTAAGCATTTCCCCGTCAACCAGCAATCTTTGCCCAGGTGAGGAAGAAAGAGGCTGCAGTCCACATGGCAGGACCTGGAAGGCTCGAGCCACCAGAGCTGCCTTTGGCCAAAAGCTCCAGTTAGGGGTCAGCTCTGCATGGCCCTGGAGGAGTCCTTCTTCTTCTGCCCTGATTGAAGCCACCGGGGATACTTACCAGGGACAGTGAGGCTCCCCCGGCGGGCACTGCCCCACAGCAGGTGCAGGCCTCAGGTGTCTGTGGTTTCCCCCTGGTGGGAACAGGAGCCTCCTCAACCCAGATCCCTTGCAGGTTCGAGTCACCTACCTGCACGCTCTCAGCCTCCTTGGGTGCTGTACAAACTTCATGCTTGCTGGCGTGGCACACGTGTTGAAGCATAAGATGCCTTTTATCTTTTACTGCCTATCCCACCCCTACATTTACAAATGACTGGATTTATTTATAGTGTTCCGTATATTATTGCTGAATTCTTGATAATAGTAGGTGTATCGTCAGCCCGAAGAGTTTCCTGTCTCTATGGCTTGGCTGTTGAGGCAGGAACGGATGTTGCCTTCCGCTCGTTCTGATCTTCCATAGCTGGCACTCTAGAATTTTCTCCAGCTAGATTGTATGTGGCTCACACCATGTTAATTCCTAAATACTTAATATTCTTTATCGATAGTGTGAATGGAGTTTCTTTTTTCATTTTTTTCTCTGCATTTAGTTTTTGTGGGTGTTATCTAAGTCTCGAGACTTTGCTGTCCTAATTGAGTTATTATTTTTTGCCACCGATTTCCTTGTGTTTTACAATCATGCCATTTATAAGCAATGTTACTAAACATCTTTTATATTAATCCCTTCTATATCTCCTTCAACCTTTCTTACTGCTAGTTTTTGAGGACGTATTTCTAACAGTTCTCCACTGAAGTGTTCCCTGGGAATATGTTCCCTGGTGTTTGGCATGTGGAAGACGTCATCATCGCCGATTCCTTGGTGTGTGGGGGGCGGGGGCATTTTCATCAGGCCTGTGATGTAAGCTGAAATTTTCAAGCATCTTCTTGGCATCTATGGAAATAAGCTCTGGTTTGTACTGATCTGCTGCTGTATTCAGTTAAGCTTTCTTTTAGGGTGAACTGGCAAGCATTCCTACAATGACCCCTCCTGGGTTAGAGGAAACAATTCTTTTCATCTGGACTGAGTTCTGTTTTCCAAGTGGAATTTCAGATCTGAGTTCTAAACAAAATCAGCCTGTAATTTTCCTCTTTCATGTTGTCCTGGCAGAGTTAGGCCCCAAATCCTATTTAGTCCACAAAACAAATTGAGCACTGTTCCCATGTTTTATGTTGACAGTTGTGTTAGTGTGTTAGTGTGTCAGCCTGTTATATGTTCAGCCTGTGTCTCTGCTCAGGCCCACGAATGCCTTGAGTTACTGACCCTTCTCGGGTTCCAGGAGTCTGGGCTTTGGCAAACCAACACCATGCTCAACTTCTTCATACCTTTCCCAATTTTATGTTCTCCAAGCAGGTATTTGATAGCTGCTGTTTACTGTTGTGCAAAGCCCGTCCATTCCCTCAATCCCTCATCTCCTCTCTGCTTGTCTCTCTGAGGCTGACAAGCCGAATGCCCAAATGTGCCAAGTGCTTTGAGCAGGCATAAGATGTTGCTTTTGTTGTCGTTCTTTTGAGAGATGGTTGTTGTTTTTGTTCCTGGTCAATAACATTGTTTATTAGTCACTAATTATGCAAGGAGTGAATGTCCTGTGCTAAACGGAATTCTAATTGTCTGTTAATAACCTTCTCTTTTATAATAAAGCTGTCTGGCAGAGTGTTTTTCACTAGCAATATCTTCTAAATGTTGCTAAGTTTTGAGAAATCTGGTCCTTGGACGCACTGGGGATGGAATTCCAGGCAGAATTCAGTCTCCCAACTCGGTGGGGAAAGAAGAGTTCTGGTTTATTTATAAACTCAGTCTTTGTTTTCTGTGTCCTCACATCTGGG